TGCGGGGGGTCCAGCCGCTGCTGCTGCTAACAGTGCTGCGGGTGGCGGGCCGATCGGTGGCGTTGGCCCCCCCTGCGGGGGCGGCGGCTGCGCTGCCGTTTCGTTCTGCTGCTCCTGTCGGGGAACGAAGTAAGCTCACCCCCATGAGAGGGGCCTCTCCTTGCGTTTATTCGGCCCCCCCCCTCGTTTATCCCCTCAAACAGGGGCCCTCCCTTCTTGGCAGCGCGGGGCAGAGGGGGGGGGGGCGGTCCTGCAGCAGGCCGACCAAGACCGCCTCCCTGGTATCGCACCTCCGCTGCCAGTGCCTGGCAGGCGCAGAAAACTGACCAGGATAAACATTGAGAAAATCAAAACATCAAACCGACATAACTTCATTCCTCAATGTTTGAGGGTTCCCCCCTCCCCACCACTTGCACCCTTGCGTTGCCTGGCTCTGGCGACCTCGCTCTTGCCGCCCCTCCACCTCCTCCCGTTGCGGTCGCGGTCGCCGTGCTCGTGGAACCACTGGGTCGCGTGGTGTTCCTGGCACGTCTTGCCAACGCACACCGAGAAGAAGGTGTGTTTGCCGCACTGCCAACACTTCTTGCAGCTCATCTTGCGAAGCCACAAGCGGTGGGACGAGCGGGTGTACCGCTTCCTGTGGTCCTGGAAGTCCAGCATGAATTCCTCCTCCGCCTCGCTGTCGTCGTCGTCGACCTCAAAGACAGGCGCGTGCCCGTCCTGCAGGGTGTCTCTGTAAATCAATCCCTTCAGGAAGGGTCACGGGTCTCTGTGAATGAATCCCCTCAGGAAGGGGAGGTTCTATCGATAAATCCCCTCTGGCAGGGGTCTCTGTAAACGGATCCCCTCAGGAAGGGGCGCCTTAACCACTTGTACCCCCAGCTCCTCGTGAGGCCGCTTGCCGCCGCCACCGCCTTCTGGAGGCAGCCCGCCGCCGCAGCCGCCCGGCGCCATCATGCCGGAAGCCTGGGGTCCAGAACGGTCGCGGCCGAAAGTTTTTAGTCAGACTCAAAAGGCTACTGGGGGCCTCGTGGGAGGCCCTTCGGGGGGGTGAATGTAATGGAATGTCATAGGAATTCGTCCAATTTTAGACACACTTTTTTTTGCTAAAAAAGGTGGGTCTAAAACTCGGCTGCTGGATTGATTTTTTATCGCCCAGATGGCCAAACAAGTGGCCGTCACTCTTGCTTTTCTCCTCATCCTGCCCCAACTCCCCCCTTGCATTCTGCTTCCGCGCGGCCTGGGGCGCCGAGAGGCGCATGATGAGCGCCCGCATGGCCGCGAGCTCGGGGCGGGGGGCTGGCCCCCAAGCGCGCTGGGCGCCAGCTCTGTCGAACGGTTGCGGACGAAGAACATGAAAGCAAATGGGAGAGGGATGGGGCGAGGAGGAAACGCAATGCCATGCGCATAATGAGTAAGCAGACTGCCGCACCTTTGATCCCCTCCCCGAGGGGTCCCCTCTCGGAGGGGGCCGTTGCCCTGTCTTATCGCGAGTGTGCTGAAGCCCCTCTTAAGGGGTTCCCCTCTTAAGGGGTTCCATCACTCGCCAATCCATCGCGCGGTCCCCTCACGGAGGGGCGCCCCTGCGATGAGGGGGTGTCGTCTAGCACTGGAGAGGGCGCTCTGCCAACGGGTATGGCGATGGCAATGGCGATGAAGACGGTAAGGATGATGATGATGATGGATGCGATGATGAGGATGGATGCGATTAGTCGCCCAAGCGCTGTGCCACTAAGCGCTCAGCCTCCGCCTTAGCAGCTTCCTTGGTGTCAGCCACGGTGCCGTCGACCAAGGCCTTCTTCAGCTCTGCGCCGATCTCCCTGAGCGTGGCCTCGTCCAAGGTGTCCTTGTACTTTTTCCCGCCGAAACTCACAAACTGGTTCTTCTCACCGTGCGTCCGCTTCAACCCGATAGAGTGGTCCCTCTTGTAGTACATCGCGCTGCGCCCGCGGTCGGCGTGGCCGGCGGGGGGCCCAGCGCCGACCGAGGGCTCATCTGCAGCATCCACGGGCTCATCGGGTTCCAGCTGCTCTTCCTCCTCCCCCTCATCGTCCTGGTCCGTCTCCGTGTTCGCGGCGGCTGCACTGGGCTTTCTCATTGCAGGCTTCTCTGCCACTACATGTCCTGCTGGCTTCCCTTTTTTGCACGCTTTCGCCTTCGCCTGCGCGGCTGCCGCTCTTGCTGCCAGGAGGGCGTTGGGCTGCTCAGTCTTCTCCGTCCTGCCGTCGGGAAACACGGCATCCAAGAAACCATCGCCTCCTTTCGTCAGTGTTCCCCGCTCCTCCCTGTCTGCGAACTTCATCACCATGCACATCGGCTCGGAGTTGAAATCGAAATACGTGGCCAGGGGATCATGGGGCGGGTCTCTCACTTGCCCCTCCCGAGCTCCCCTCCCGAAGGGGTTCGGTTACGCCGTGAAAAATCAAAACTGCTCCCCTCCCCCCCCCACCCTGCCCGCCCCCTCCGATCCTCCTTCGGGGCCGCGGCGGGCGGGTCAGCGAGCTCGACGTCCTCCTGCGACGAGAACACCACCATCGGGCTCCACGCGGCAACCTTCTGTTTCTTCCCTGCCGGTTTCGGAGGCGGGCTGATGCCGAAGGCGTTCTTGATGACGTTGCGCCTGCTGCCCCCATCTGCGCTGGACGACGCGGCGGCCGTGGAAGATGTTGGAGGGTTCATCTCTATGTCGGAGCTGCTGTCGGCGCGTTTTTTGCTCTCTCCTGTGCTTGGGCTTGCCCTGCCAGGCTGCAGCCCCATTGCCACCCCAAGCATTTTTGCGTGCGCCTCCAGCTTCCCCCCCGTCTTGGCGATGTAGAACTTGTTGCAAACATGGCTGGAAGCGTTGGCCACCTCCTGGCAGAAACGCCTACACTCTTCCTGGTGCATGTTCGGCATCTGCTTCAACACGACGTCCTGGAGGTTCTTCCATCTGACGCGTGTGGTGAGCTGCGCAAGCGGCAAGAGAAACGGCATGATGTTCTTCGTGAAGTCATCTATGCCCCTTTGCAGTTGGCATTTTTCGATGAGATCAATGTGCTGTTTCACGAGCGGCTTCAACTGTTCCTCAGTCACAGAAGAAGCCCGTATCTTCACCTCCGTCTTGCCCTTGACCATTGCCCACCCCCCGCGCAGTGCGCGCAAGCAAGAGTAGCGCTATGTGCCCTCGAGCCTTCGCAGCTGCGGGATGTTGTAACATGCGCGCAATGTGATGCAGCCGATACCCCTCGCTCAGGGGACGCATGCCCCCTCACTCAGGGGATCCTTAACAATGCGCGAGCGAAGAAAAGTACGACCTGGCCAAAAATCATGGGTTGGACTATAGTGCGACCCAAGGAAAGTGCCAGGTCGATCTATAGTTCGACCCCGCACTATAGATCGACCTTGGAGTCTCAAGGGCGGCGACGCCGGCCATGCCACCGGCGCCGCCGGCGCCGGCCCAACAGCTGCCGACAGCGCCGAAGCCCCCCCCGCCGGGGCCCCCCCCGCCGCCGGCGGCCGAGCAACAACTGCCGCCAGCAGCGCCGACGGCAGCAACAACAAGGAGGCGGGGGGCCCCGCTTCACGGACCCAGCCTCCTGTTGCGCGGCCCTAAGCCGACCGGTATTCTGCGCAGCGGTGAGAAGAAGAAGATCAACTCGTCGTCGTCGTCGGCGACGCACATGATGGTGGAGGAGGACATTGGCCTGCTCATCAGGAGTAAGGACTCCGTCGTCAAGTTGGAGTCCTACAGGGACGACCTGAGGAAGGATCAACTGTGGTGGACGCCGCCAGCTGAGCACAATGTCCAGTGCAACATGCGCGTCAAACGGGTGCCCAAAGACGAGGGGGAGCTCTACCCGATCGCTGGTAGGACGATGTTCGCTTCGTACGTCTTCTATTGCCCCTCGTGCCTGGCCAAGATCAAAGGATGCACCAGCAGCAACGCCGCGGTGACCTTCGGCGTGCCACACGCGGAATGAGGGGGCTGGCGCGTCGGTCGCACAGCTCTGGAGGCTCGGCCAGTAGTAGGGCGGCCGCCTGCCTCTGGGTGTCTCCCGCGACGCGCGGCGAGCACCTTCGCCAGGAGCACCCGCGAGAACTCCGGGATGCCTCGCCGCAACTGCGACATCCTTTCGTCGCCGCAGAACGCCCATCACAATCGACATCGTCATCCCTCATCCTCGACGCATTGCCTGGATCAGTCGGGGTTCGCGTGGAGCTGGGGGGGGTCCTGGGCGCGGGGCCTCATGGGCCTCCTATCGTGCCCTCCCTCTGCCCCCGGTCGCGTCTTGAAACCCTACGGGGCCTCGATCGGGGCTCCGCTGGAACCGTCTCGTTGGTCTTTTTCGGTAATATAGCTTGGCGCCGTGCGCGCCTCGAAGTTCGTTGCTGGGCACTACTAAGATATTACTATTGAAGTGGGCTCGAGTAGGCCACTGTCCAACGCTCAAGACATCCCCGCAATCTGATTGCGAGCGAGCAGGTGCAATGCCCTCCGGCGCCACCCCAGAGTCAGCTTCTCGGACCTCTCCAAGATCTCCGACGTGGCCCCGGGGGAAAGCTTGGAGGGCCCCGGAAGCGCCCCCCCCCCCCCTCTCCAGACGGGGCCGCGGCCCAGGAGAGCCATAGACGGAAATCAATCATCCAACCCACCTTTTTAATTTAGATACAAATTGCCGTCCGTCTCATTCCTCGTTCCGTCCTTCTTCCTCGTCTCCCCTCCTCATTCGTCGTCTGTCCCCCCATCCCCCCTTCCCCCCTTTCCCCGCCCCCTGCTCGAACGGCCTTCCCCCGCGGCCCGGAGGGCCGATCGCCGTGGCCCACGAGGAGCGCGCGGCGGCCGGGCAGCGGCGAGGAGGGCGTCGTTGCGACGACGACGAGACGACGAGATGGGGCGAGAGAGAGGGGGGATCTGAAGGAGGACAATAAGAAGGAGGAGGAGGAGGAGGAGGAGGAGGTGAGGAGGAGGAGGGGGAGAAAAATGGGGAGGACGATCAGTGTGAAAGTTCAAGCTCGCAGGCTCAAACACCGCAGCAGCGAGAGGGTAGCGGAGCACCCGGGAGGGCCAGCGTATCTCTTTTAGCCATGGCCATCGCGCTTGACTTGATATCCTCGATCATGGTGGCCATGTTCGCCGGTATGGTGACGACCCTGGTGAGCGACCGCGCGATGCGCTCGGCCATGCCCAAGTACTTCTTGCATTCATCAGCCCTCGGGTCGGTGACATCCGTCGGGATCTTCTTGGTGATGAACTCGTTGATGGCGTAGACCTGCGTTGTCGGCCACTCTCCTCCACCTGGTGGTCGCCGGTGCGGCTGGCGGCCGCCTCGCCATGCATCGGCGTTGCTGCCGCTCCATCGGGGTCCATGGCGATCGCCTGCTGCTGCTCCTTCTTCAACTCCTCCTTTAGCTCCGTCAGGTCTTCCTCGAACGCCGTGTATTCAGCAAGATATTCCTCAGGCCCCTTGGCGTTCTTCGCCGCCGTTTTCAAGGCGGTGTCGAAGTCGTTCCCGAACGCAATCTTCTCCCAGAAAGCGACGGCCAACCGAAAGGCATTGCGCCGCTTCGTGCCTGCGCCGCTCACGTAAAGGCTAGAAATGTCGACCGACGATGCACCTGGGTAGTTCGTCAAGGTCGCCCGCGCCGACTCGTGGCTGGCGAACGCGTTCCTGCACCAACCGATCTCTTCAGCCGTGAACGCGTTGCTGTGGGCCCACTGATTGAGGAAGTAATCCCTGCTGCTCAACTTAATCAGGGCGAGGTCGCAGATCCACGTGTTCATTTTGGAGATGCTGCAATCGGAAAGCTCAATGAACTCCATCGATAGTGCGTCCAACAAGTAGTTGTAGCACCACTCGATGTTGAGGGCAGTCTTGCACTTGTTGATCACGATCTGGAACTTCCCAATCCCAAATGTCGGTCCAGCGTGCTTGTAGTGGCGGTCCAGAGTGTTGATGGTCTCCGCGATGCCCTTGTGGCGAAGGGCTCTTTCTTGGACAGTATTCGCAATGTCGATAAACGAAGAGGACAGCTTCTCGCTCTTGGCAGCCAGGTGAACTTTCTTCTCGAAGTGCGTCTCCAACTGCTTCTCTGTGGGATCCTTACCCGTTGCTAGTTTCAGCATGTACTTCTCTCGTATCACAATTTGGATCCGTTGCAGCGTCGTCCACGACACGATGTGCGCCTCATCCTTCGCGTCCTCCCGGAGCGTGAACGCGGCGGTGGCGATGTCGGCTTGGTTAACGCGGTACACCTCGGTTGGAACCTGTCGGGGGCGGCCAAGAGGGGGGTGTCCAAGAGGGGGGGGGCAAATCATGACGGGCGGCATGTGCGCGGCCCAGCGGGGGGGCCTGGGGCGTAATGAAATAAGAAGAGGCGCCATGAAATCTGAAGAAAAATCATGGCCCGCGCCATGAAATCCCCCCCCCCCTAGTCATCACCCCCCTCTTTTCCGCTCCCGAAACCTGGCGGAAAAGCTTCAACCAGTCCCGGGCCCGGGCATCCGTCATCGTGCCAGTGTCCACTTCATCGGCGCAGGCCTTGATGGGGGCGTGTAATTTCTCGAAAGCGCTCAAACTCTGCAACTTCTTTGCCACGAACGGCTCGGTAGAGTGTTCCGTCAGTGCAATGGCAATCGTGCGCAGCTTAGAAGGCAGCGCCGACGTTTTCTTGAAGTCGCGCTTGATGAACAGGTCCACGTCGCTCATGTTGATCTGGACACCTGGCGTGGGGTTCATCAGCGTGTCGATCCATGCGAGAGGGACGGAACCAGTGCCGACGACCGTCGCCCCCTCGATGTTGGCGTCCATCGACTCGAGCTTCTTCGCGACAACGCCGATGTCGATCGGGGGGACCACCGCGCCATCGCTAACAGCGACCGGCTCCACGCTGTCTGCGAACGCCGTCTGCAACACGACGTGCTGCTTGATGGTGGCCAGCCGCTTCTGCACATGAGTGAAGTAATCTGCGTTCACGCCTGACAGCTCGGGCACCGCCGTCGTCTGCTCGTCGTGCGGCGACTCGGCGGGGTCAGCAGAGAGGGGCGTCGACGTGGCCTTCGCCTTGGGCCTCTTCGCCGCGGATGCGCCGGCATCGGTGGCGGATCGTTTCTTTGGGCTCATCGACAGCGCGGCTGGCGCACAGTCGGGGGGGGGCCGCCTGCAAGGTCGCCCGCCGGCGGCCTCGCCCTGCTGAGTTAGGTTGGCTGCGATGATAGTTACGTTGGTGGTCTGTGACTGGGGGGGCAAAAAGGGCAATGAGGGCGCAGAAGGAATGAGGGGCGCGGGCGGCAGGGCGGGCCGCGTGAACGGACGCAACTTCTGGACACGCTCGATTTCATTTGGTTTTCTGTCAAAGCGTTCCGGAGACTCTCTCCCGGAACGCACTCCGCAACGCCTCCAGCCTCCCAGGGCGCCCCAGCGTGCCGGGGTCTATCCGCGTGGCCCCCGAGGTCCAAATCAGCCAACGCGCCCACATACCCCAGAAGAGAAGGTTGTCCAGAAGTTGGTCCCCCGGCAACGGTGGTAGTAGTAGTAGTTGCGCCACTCGGCCCAAATTTCCCCGATGCCTGAGCGTGCGCCAAATTGATTTGGAGCCTGATGACGTTTGCCCGAAAATTAAGGTCCCAAGGGCCGCCCATCATCCCTGCAATCCAGCGCTCGCGACATCGAGAGGAGTGTCGACATGGGCACCGCGGGAAACCCCGGGTCCAAAAACGTTGTTGACATCTCTGGGGGGGATGGAGGGGCGGGATATATTTTGCTTCCGCCAGCCTCCGCTGGCCTTCCGCCGCCGTCCGCCGGACATGAGAGGTCAAGTAGTCGCCCCCTCGACGGCGAGGCCCTGTTCGAAGCCCGCCATTTGCCTGGCTCTTCGGATCGCAGGGCAGGGCTATGGGTTGATCTGGGCAAGAGGCAGGGCAGGGCGATGAAGCATGCGCGCGAGGTTTGGGTCACTGCAGTTTCGGGGAAAGCCGAGGAAGGGGGGATAAAGGGGATTTTGGGGAGGGAGTGGGAGGGGGGGGGGAAGCGGAGAAGGACAGGGACAAGGAAGGCGGAGGGGGGGGAGGCGGAGGGAGGGGGGGAGGCGGAGGGGGGGGGAGGCGGAGCGGGAGGGGGGGGGGGGCGGAGGAGGTGGATGTGACGCAGCACCGCTATCTTCGTTATCTTCGCTAAAAAACTGGCCCGATGGCAGCGCCGTCGTCGTTGACGGCCCGCGCGGCCTGCCGACCTGCGGGCGGGCGCCCGCCGCTAGCAACCGATCTGCTTTACCTTCGTCTTCTTCTGGTTGCACCTATCTGGCAAGCGGCGGGTCGCCAATCCAGACGCCCACAAGGCCTTCTGAAGCACCCGTTCCATGATGTTCACTGGGATCGTGTTGCCGATCATCGCCCCCATCTGCCCGGCTGACACTTTTGTTTTGCAGCTCGACCACGCAGCCAGCTTCTCCTGCAAATCGCAGTCGATGCCAGAGAGCTCAAACAGTTCTGGGAGCGTGACGCGTCGGCCGCGCACCGAGATCCAATAGTCCAATGCATTTGCTCGACGATTCGTAGTGCACGGGAAGAGGCCCTCAATGGTCAAGTTGGTGCTCGAGTTGCCGCGCGAGAGGCTGCGTCCAATGTCCGTGATGACGATCGTCTTGGCCGGGTTGATCTTCTCTTTCAGGTGGGCTCTATACTTAGTCTTAACAAGGGCCCTGCGCCGTTGGTCTCCTTTAGCTCCTTTTGGGGGGGAGTGCCTTCGGGTCGTCTGACGGCGATGCCACCAGGATCTCAGCCAAGGTCCTCTTGAAGCCGACAGGCTTCGGCCACGTGAACGGCTTCGCCCACCCGTCGCGGCACGCGACCATGAACAACCTGTGCCGATGATGGGGGACACCATGATCTTCGCAGTGTAGCGTCTTCACTTGCACGGTGTAGCGGAGCGCCTCCAACTCGGCCTTGATCTCTCGCATCGCCCACCTGTGCTGCTTGATCTTGATGTTTGGCACCATCTCGTACGTCACAAGCTTCGGGGTGCGATTCGCAATGTATGCCAAGCTGTGCCGAAACAACGCGTCGCGTGCATCGTCTCCTTCGACAGGTCGGCCCGCAACTCCTTCGGCAGAGAACGACTGGCACGGCGGGGAGAAATGGTAGTAGTCTACTTCTGGAACAAGCGAGTGGTCTCGCTGCTCGATGTCGTCGTATAGATGCTGGGCGGGCATCGCGGCGGCGTTGAAGCGCTGGACCGCCGGTTCCTTGTCGCAAGAAAACACGTGATCAACAGGTACACCGAGTTGCCACAACGCAAGGAGTGGTGCATTGAGACCCGTAAAGTCTGTACCTAACCGAATCTTCACCATCAAGGCGTGGACGCGGAGGGTGCAACCATCGCAGTAACGCACCAGCTGACTGGCTGCGTCGGGGCCAGAAAAATGGCGAGGGCGGGGGAAGGGGGGGGCGGGGGCGGGGGCGGGGGCGCCCCAGTGTGCTCTAGGAGAATGTTTCGTTCTGGAGGATATCTGATCTCGAAGGGGGTGGCTTGAGAGAGAGCGAGAGAGAGATAGAGAGAGAGAGAGAGAGAGAGAGAGAGAGAGAGAGAGAGAGAGAAAGCCCGGAGGAGCCCACCCCGGAGCTCTCAACACTCGGCGGCGTCGCCGATCGCTGAGTGGGCTGGATCGGCGACGCCGCCGAGCGTTGAGGGGGATCCCCGATGCGTCCACCCCCGGGCTCTCAACATCGCCGGCGTCGCCGATCGTTGAGAGAGCCCGATCTGCGACTCCACCCCCGAGCTCTCAACACTCGGCGGCGTCGCCGAGGGCCGGATCGGTGGCCCCTCCGAACGTTGAGAGCTCCGGGGCTGCCACCCCCGAGCTCTCAACGCTCGGCGGCGCCGCCGAACGTTGAGAGCCCCGGGGTAGAGAGGTCATGGGAGAGGGTCGAGTGTTGAGAGCCCGGGGGTGGCGTCTGGACGACGCCTTACCCCGGGGCTCTCAACGTTCGGCGGCGCCGCCGAGCGTTGAGAGCTCGGGGGTGGCAGCCCCGGAGCTCTCAACGTTCGGAGGGGCCACCGATCCGGCCCTCTCCTCAATCAGCGACGATCGGCGACGCCTCAGCGATCGGCGACGCCGCCGAGTGTTGAGAGCTCGGCGAGCGTCACCGATCGGGCCCTCAGCGATCGGCGACGCCGCCGAGCGTTGAGAGCTCGGGGGTGGCGTCACCGACTGGGCTTTCTCAACGATCGGCGACGCCAGCGATGTTGAGAGCCCGGGGGTGGACGCATCGGGGACCCCCCTCAACGCTCGGCGGCGTCGCCGATCCAGCCCACTCAACGATCGGCGACGCCGCCGAGTGTTGGGAGCTCGGGGGTGGGCGCCTCCCCCCCCCGGGCCCCCCCCTCAGCGCTCGGCGGCGGCAGCCCTCATCGGTCGGCGACGCCGCCGAGCGTTGAGAGCTCGGGGATGGAAGCCTCTGGGCCCTCTCTCAGCGCTCGGTGGCTCCACCAACCTAGCTAGCGGCCCACCAGGGAGCTCAGGGGCGCGGCGGTTCTCGAGAAAGTGCGGAGGGGGTGGAGAGGGGGGGGGGATGTGCAAGGAACGAGGGGCAGGGGGGCGGGGAGAGAAGGGTGCGGGTTCGGAAGGGATGTGACGTTCAGACCGCTGGCCCCCCTTCGCCCCGTGCCCTGCCGACCGCCAGGATCTCGCGATCTTCCGCGGATGAGCTACGACTGCCACTGCTACTGCGTCGAGGAGGATTGCCCGCTCCACGGTTGAACGCAACACTTCTGGACACGCTCGACGGGGCTGGTTTTTGGGTCACAATCGGCTTGGATTTCGCCCCCCGGAGCTCTCGCGCCAGATCCTGGGCACCCCCTGCGCGCCGAAGCCATCCGCGGGGCTCCCGAGGCCCAAAGCGGCCCTTCAGAGGCACCCGCAGTCCCCAGAGAGTCCAGAAGAAGTTGTGTCCTCCAGCGGCATCCCCCCCCCATTTTTTGTTCGTCATCATTGTTGTTCCCATTTCTCCCCCTCCTCGCCCTCTCCTCCTCCTCCTCCCCCTCCATTGCCCGTAAGGATCACGTTATTATTGCAGTTGCCCGTTTGCGAGAAGATTGGGAAGCGGAGCCAATTTCCCGTAAGGATCACGTTATTATTGCAGTTGTCCCGCGGTTGTGAAGAGCGGGCTGGATGGGGGAGGGGAAGAGCTACCCCAGGTCACATGGCGTCGCGCATCGCGGTGCGCGATGCGCGACGCGCGGTTTTCCTCGTCGCGCCCTTGCGCCGTCGCGCCGCCCTGATGGGGAACGAATCCCGCTCTTGCCCAGACGACGAAGCGCGAAGCGCGGTTATCTTCGCGCCTCTGTCTGGGGGCGACCTAGGCCACAGTTACAACAATAGACAAACCCCGCCACACTGTGTTTTCGCGGCACCCCGTGGCCCCACCTCGAGCGCGCCTGCGCAGCGCTGCTTGCAACGCCTACACATCAGAAATTCCAAATAGCACCGACGCCATACCGAGAGCTCGATTCGTCAACACGCGATAAACGAGATATGAACTCGGGCCCCGTGAGTGACGACCCAGCTGGGAAATCATGAGATCGGTGTGCCGTATCAGCCGACGTCACCAACGCCAACACAAACTTCTTGCCCTTCTGAACACAGTAATCATCCCAATCGATCAACTTGAATTTCGTGGCGCCCATGTCCGCCACCGCGTGCTCAACCAGGGTGGCCTTATCCATGTGCCGAGCCCTGAAATCGTCGGAAATGTAAACCCGTCGCGAAAGTCGCAGTGCACTCATGCACTTGATGCACGGCCCGTCGCTGCCCTTGAAAGCCGCGGCGGACATCGCGATGGAACCGCGCAGGATTGCCGCCCACAACCTAGGGCCGCCCACGAATCGCGATACCCACCGGCCGAAAGAAGTCGGTAGACACATGAAGTAGGAAGGCGGTTCAAGTAGATTGGGCTTCGGCCCGCCCAAGTGGGACGCGATGAACGTAGGTAACCATCGATTGTTGAAGTAGGAAGGCGCTTAAAGTAGATTTGGGTCTGGGGATCAAAAAATACATACTTCCAACGGCCGGTGGGTATAACTGAACCTTGCCATTTTTGCGCGCCCGCCCACTACGACTGGGCATCCCCTTAGGTTACCCCTCGCCAATCCCCCCCACCCCCCACCCTTGCGTGAAAGCTTGTCCCCTGGCGTTGCACGCAGTCAACCCGGATGCAACGGATGCGCGATAAGATTGTTGACGTTCTGCCAAGCTGCAAAACTTGAGGGCGCAAGGCAACTAAGGATGCAAGGGTGCCCGTGGGAAAATCGCCCACCCTTCTTATGATTATTATGCAGGTTGACTGAATGCGACATGCTCCCACGCCCCCTTCCCCCGCCCACGTTTCTGCCGTGCAGGTCGCCGGCGCCGAAGCCCCGGGGAAGGAGAAATGGGGATACGGAGCCGAAACGTCGGGGTTGGATGCAGAAGTGTTTGCGCTCGATGGCGCGCCGCGCCCAGGTGCCCCCCGACATCGCACTCCCCCCCCCCCCCTTCCTGGCCGGCCTGGGATCGCGCGGCTTGAGCAGCCCGGGGTCGTGGACGACAACCACGCCTGCCTCCGCGGCGGACGTAGCCAGCGCGAGCCGCCACCTCGGCAGGAACGGCGCGCACGCGTCGGCCACTGCCTCGTCCATGACGTACTTCTGCCCGGCTAAGTCGTCGCAGGTCGGCGGTGACCCCCCGACCGCCTTCGACAGCTTCCTGAGCTCCGTTCGCGTTCGAGCATCAGCCCTGTCCTCGGGCCGAGTGGCGCGTCTAACCTTATCTGCTACTGGAACCCTTGTTGCGAGGCTCAAAGAAAATATATTCTGCCAGCATAATATACATCAGTTGTGATCTAGGTCGCCTAACTTCGCGCGTCGCGCCCCGCGGCGCGCCACCTGCGGTAATCCTCGCGCTATCGCACCGACGCCCTGGAGAAGGGCAGCTCTCTGGCGCATGCCACGACTTGTGGCACTTTATTGTCGCTGGGGGTCGAGGTTCATTAGGGTAGTGTGTTCTCGCGTGGTAGCTTGTTTTATGAAGGTAGAATGTGGTCCCCCGAGTTAGTGCGTTGTCTTGTGATGGGTGTCAGCTTAGGGTAGTTGGTTGTGTTCGGATAGTGTGGGCTTCCATGGGTATGTTCTGTCATGGCCGTTTGTTGTCCCAGGGTATCTTGCGTCTCAAAGTAGCCTGACGCATTCGGCGGACATCCCTATGCATGGGGCCACGAACCACGCGAGGGATGCACAAGCATCGCATGCTGACGAATGTGATGATGCGTGGAGGGCAGAGGCCCGGATGGGAAGGGAGGGCGGGGTGTTGGTTATGATGATGGCGATGATGACGATGATGACGATAGCGATGATGGCATCCCGCTCCTCCTCCTCCCCCCAGCGCCCCCTCCTCCAGGGCCGGGGGCATTGCTGAGCGCTGTCGGCTGGGCGTGCCGGCCCATCCTGGGTGGGCGCCACCGCGTCGCAAGGCATTGTTTTCCCTTATGTTGTTCCGCCTCTCCTTTCCTCCCTTCCCCTCCCTATCATCTGTTCACCCGACGGGATCAGGGAGGGCCCCGGGTGAACAGTTTCCGATTTTGAACGTGGCCAACGTTTTCAAACATCAGGCTCGTGCCTGGTAGCTGAAACTTGCGGAGCTTCTGGGGCTCCGAAGACGTTTCCCTAGTGCAACTTGTTGGCGCTGTTAATTAATTGCACTCCCGCCCCATCCTCCCTCCTCTCCTCCTCGCTCCTCCGCCCCCTCACTTCCGCATCCCCCCTGCCCCCGTTCTCCTCATTTGATCCCCGACGCGCGCCCCACTGCTGCGCGATCTTCGGCGAGGCCTCGCTCGCGAATGTCGGGCGTGATCTCCGCATCCGTCAAGAGGCCGTCGCGCATGGCCATGATCTGGCGTTTGTCCCTCTTCTTCCGAGCGAACTCGGCCTCCTTCTCGTGGGCGTCGCCCCACCCGTCAACGTGGATGTCGTTGATGATCTGGTCGATCGGCATGTTCATGGTCTCGGTCGAGTTGGCCGACGCACCTGCCGATCGTCGGGCATGCCTGAATGCAGCCTCGGTCCCAGGCTGCATGCCCCGCACCATGCCCTTGTCGACCCTGGGGGGCCTGTTCGAGGATTGCCGCGAAGCACCGTACCGTCTCACCCATATTTTCTGAGCCCTGTCGATCAGGTCATCAACGGGGTCCCGGGCAGCGTCGACCTTGACTTTCCAGTGCGCCCATTCTGTGAACGTGTTGCATTTTTCCTGATTCGGGCTCACCGCGCTCATCCCCCTGGTGAACGTTTGCTCCACGCCCGAACTCGAGCAAACAAAAATCAACCAATCCGCACCGCCGAGCACGGCGTGGCCGCGCGTCA